AAATCTACCCTCTTCCAGTTTAAAACCATTTCCCTTTATCCTGTTGCTACCTGACCTTATAAAAAGTCCCTTCCCAGCCCTTATGCAGGCCCCTTCAGGTACTGGAATGCTGCTATAGGGTCCGCTCAGAGCCTTCTCTCCTGCAGGCTCAAGAGCCCCAGCTCTCAGTCTGTCTTCATAATGTGATACGATACATTCACAGATTTCATGAAAGTTAAAAACAGTGGGAGCAGAATAAAGGAACTGCATTATGCAGAAGGAAAAAAAAAAATCAAGCTCAATACAAAGAAAACATTTCCCAACAAAGATGTCTATTAAAAGGCTGAAAAGTCTGAAGAGAAGAGGTGGAGGCCTCATCACCTGAGGTATTTAAACCCAGGGCAGACAAAGCATTCATCTCTACAGGGACAGAGGAAACAGACAGAATGCTTTCTTTGGATTTTTTCCAACCATCTCTGGTTTTTATGATTTAATACATTTTTTTAAATGCAAACCACGTTCACGTAACACAAGCAGGAGGCAGAAACACAATAAAATGATTTTAGCTGTAGCATTGCCAAACACAATGAAATTTGATTTAAACTGAAATTTTTGCTACCAATTCAAACTGTGAGATGACTTCTCTTTGTTTAAGGTCTAGCACTGAAAGCTTTGTAACTGCCACACACTTCTCTGGAAAGGTAATTTAGCATCCCCACATGGGGGATCTATTTTCTCAACCAGAGCTTCTGAAACTGTGAGGCTCCAACTAGGAGAGCTGATGCAGGAGGCAGAATGATGTACAGAAAACCATTGGAACAGAGGTTTCGTGCCAACGTATAAACTCCCTGAGGACTCTCCTGCACTGAATGTTTACTGATGTCACTTAAAGGATAACATCTAATCTGCCAGCATGAAAGAAAACGTTGACACTCAGAACAGTCTCTTTCCATCACTTTGTAGGTCTTAAAATGGTTCCATGATTTTCAGTTCTTCTTCTTCCCCCATTTTTTTCCGCTTGAAGGCACTGCTCCGTTTAAATAAATTGCACTGTCTTGGTTTTGTTAAAAAAAAAACACAAAGAAGTGCTACAACAAAGTCTGAGGAAACTTAAGGTAGTTACAGTGAGTTTGTTTGAGAGTGGAATGCTGTGCACCTTCCCTACAGGAAGATGATATGATGACCCACACCTGCTTTACCAGAAAGCAAGATCCATAGCTGGAGTGAGCAGCCACAGAGGTGACACAGGGCAGTCAGGTCTTGGTGCTCCTCAGGCTTGAGGCAGCCCCTCACAGGTTTGGGATGAGCCAGGACAAGGCAGGACGTAGCTGTGCGTTTGGCCTGCTTTGACATTAGAACAGTGTTAACAAGATTTCACCTACTTAATTGCATTCTATATTGCCACATACAGGTTTGCAGGCACACAGTCAATATAGCAGGACAAAGCTCACTGTGCAGCTAAAGCAAATCCAAATGGGACTTAGTCAATCCCATTTACCAGACCAAAGCTTTAAATAGTTTATGTCATAGAGGAACTGTGTCCAAATCTAAGCATCTCTTTTTTTGTTTGTTTTGTTTTTAAACTATGAAGGCCAATAACTTGGTGTGTAGAAAGTGAAAATACTCAGCTGTAGTAGCATTGCCAGGTGACTTTTAATTACCAAACAAGCTTGAAAAATCAGAAGGATCAGTCCGAAAAACTTTACTGGCAGCTCTGCTCCCATCTCACTTGAACACTGCAGCTTTGCTCCAGGAACAGCTCACTTTCTGCTTTGCATGGCTCTGCCCGAAGGTCCAACATTCTGCTCAGTGCCCCTCAATCTCCACAGCTGTCCCTGAGCTCCACAGCTGGCCCCACAGCTTGGTGCCCAATACATCACAGTCCTGAAGGCCCATTGCCTCCCTTGGAGCCTGCTCCTTGTGTAACCCATGGGCTCTGGGCTTGGGCCATGCTTGCAGAAGAGCTCCATTCTGCATGAGATCCTGCTCAGAGGAAGGTCCACCTCAGCATCCTTCCAACATTGTGCCCCATGCTACTGCATGATTCAGCCCTCAGGGAACAGCCCCACGTTGTACTGCAAACTAGCAGTACTGATGAGGATACGCTCTGTACTCACAAGATAAGCAGGAATTAAAAAACAAAAACCATCATTTGAGGTAAAATAATCCCGTGGTAATGAATTTATAACACTTTGTACCTTGTTGACTCACACGTTTGGGCAAAGCAGGAACAAAATCTTACCCATAGAATTCTGTGGGCATGAACGTAGTATTTTATGACCACAGGAGATAAAGAAAGAAGCCATAGAAAGGGAGGGAAACACTGGCAGGAGGGTGTGCAGGACTTGATTCCAGCCCCATTTACACAGGCCAGCAGAATTATTCCACTGCAGAGGATGTGAGAGCCATGAGTTTTCAGTTCTCAATCTTAAAGGTTGTGAAGAATACAAATAATGGCAGAATACTACCTGAAATTCTTCCAGCCTCAGTCACACAGTAAATATCTTCTCCTGTTTCTTCTACAAAAACTGAGATTCAGAACCCCTGGCAATTCTCAGTTGCCACATTTTAAGTCATACAGGAATTTTATGAGAACAAAGCTGTAATGATGTGCTCTGGCTAAGCAGCAGAGCAGCTATACAATCAGTGTTTTTCTGCACTCGTATTTTTGAGTGGATCAGTATTGCAGCAGAGTCCAAAATAACAGTGTGAATTTAACTGTGTGGCACTCTTAAAAAATAGTGAAGTGTAACACAACAAGTGTATTTGTTTGTGCTGTGATATGTAACTGGTACCTTGCAATCCTGCCAAGATGAGGCTCTGTTGTAAAACAGAGTACAAAATAGCTGATGCTGGAGCTAAAATGATCATAATGAACTGGGAAATAATAAAATGGAAGAGACAACGGGTAGCACTGCAGACATGCTGTGCAGAAGGAACACAGATACATCACACATTTGCAAAACCTACATCCTGTATTAGCCAGCCCTTTATTAAAGATATCATATTCAGACAAATTGAACATACCCTAAATCACATAAATCCTTAACACACAAATACATCTTCTCCCAAAGTTATGAAGTACCATTAAACCACATAGATTTCTGTCTTTCTTGCTTTTTTGACATGGTTATTGTTGGAGATTGAAAATTTATGAATTCATAGATGAGTCAAACCTTGCAGTATACGGGGATTGGGGAACACAGCTCTTCTAACTCTATATGCTTTACCACAAACATCAAAACAATTACTTAGGAATAGTCATTTCTAGGAATTCTGAAAATGTTTTAGTTCTAATTGTTATCCAGTGATGACAGAGAAGTTGGAAACATTTCCTTTAATCATTCAATACAAAGCTCTGCAACTCCACACACTTGAAAACTATAATTTTGCTATAGGTTTTCTTCTTACATATGTGTCCATATATACATACACACACATATATGCACTATTATAAACTTGAGTGTCAAGAAAAGCGGGACCTTCACATTTCACATTTCTCCTACGATTTCAAATAGCAATGAAACCATAGGTGTTATCTGTGCCAGCTACAAAAATTGGACTGATTTGACTTCAGACTTGATAGACACAACCACCACTTAAGCTCTCCTTTTCCCCCTCAATATCTTCCACTCTTACCAAAGTCATTTTGTTAAGAACATATTGTTAGGCCATCTAGTCAGCCTTCCTGCAACCAACCCATCTTCCCCTTACTGCGCCTTGAGGTCGCTCCATTTCGTGCCTGATCCGAAAGCTGTGCTTCCACTGATCATCTGCTGCTTCTCATTTTTCACTCTGCTGTGCACAGGAAAACCAGGCTGCAGCTGCGGCGTGGACCAGACTTAGTCATAAACACAAATATTAAACATTTCTTATTTTTGTGCTCTTCCAGTAGTTGAAAATTTAGCCTCAACCACACAGCGTAGAAGCAAACCTGGTAGGGCCTGATTGTATTTATGGAATAGTAAATCGCCACTAATTCCTCTGAATTCAACAGAGTCAAGTTGCACTAATTGCCACAGCTGGGGTGCCATCAACTCACAATGGTGACAGAGGGAGTTCAGAGTGTTAAATGTTTTGAAGGACTACTCACAAAACAGAATCCTTCCCAGAGCAATAGTAACTTATCACAGTGCTTATCCTGTGGGATCGGAAAACAAACAAACAAAAACACAATAAAAACCACCCAAAAAAGCAGAACCCCCCCCCCCTCACATATTAATCATTCCAGAATTTTTCTGAAACGTGTGTTAGGCAGTGAAAGTCCACGTCCTCACGATCAGGCAAAAAAGATCTATGATTACAGCTAAAGTCACATAGGCAAGATTTTCCAGCGTAGCTGCCTAAATGTAGGCGTGCTTTTGTTACAGGAACTAAAAGGTTGGAAATGCAGTGTGGTGGTGGAAACGCTTGGAGTGAAGGTAAACATTATGGGACACAACCAGAGAAGTCTGCAGATCTCTGAACTCTCAAAGGAAGCTAAGAGTTACACATACTTATTTAGTGCACCTAGATGAGAACAAATGTGGCTAATGGAAGTAATCCATTGCAGGAGATGAAGCTGCAACTATTGGACAAGCAAAGTGCATGAGGAAAGTGTTTTGGAGATGTGTTGTTAGCATGAGGAAAAGGTTCCTCATGCTGTAGAACACCAAAAGTCTGTGACCACTGGGCACCCCACAAATATTTTTGCTGTAACAAGAACTGGAAAGAGCAAACGTTAACTTGTCTTATTCTTATTAACTAAATGATTTCATTTGCTACCAGAAATAACAGATATCCCAGAGCACGAGATTCTCTGCATTAAGAGATGCTACACATTGAACTGGAAGGTGCCTGTTATACTAACTTCTCCTAAGGCAGATCCTGCAGCCTCATATTGCACGATCTAGCCAACAAAAAGCAAGGGGCTACTTATTTGAACAACAGCAGCAGACACCAAGTTTGGCAATTTTCCATTACCCCTTTCTACAACCCAGCCCTTTAAAACATGGAAATTTTATGTCATTACTTAGCTAAAAGGAAAAGAAAATAAAGAGAAAACAATAAATAATCAAATTGTAAAAAGAACTGCATAATATGGGTCACTGCTTTCACTCAGTGGGATGGTCAATGATAAAAATAAATAAGAATATAAAGACAGGCTAAATCAACTATGCTACACATGTGGCAGTGTACCTTATTTCACTGCATTTGTTGTCAAGAAGACATGCAGTCTAGAAATTCATGGCAAACACACTGGCAAAAGCCATAAACCATGAGAATAACAAGGCTCGAGGGAACAAGGCTTACGAAGACAACCCCAAGGGTGACTTTCTTAGATACCAGTAAGTAAATCCCTAAAGGCAAGGAACTGAAGTACAGCAACCCCAGCAACCAAACTAGCACCCGAATTGAGGTCTGGAAGAGCAAAGATGTGCAGTTCCACACTGTCCAGTTGTGGGACACAGTTGCAACAGAGTCAAAACTCGTAGGCCTGTAAAATTCCACCACGGGTGTGGAGTTCAGAGTCTGGGGACTCTCTCTTTGTACTTCCATGATTGTTATAACCAGGCAATTCGAAGAGGTGTGAGAAGGGCTAACCAGAGACGCCAACCTTTTGGGAGTCAGCAGCAGTTCCGTTGGGTTGTCTGGTAGGCACTTCTTTCCCTTTCCCCCACAAGCTAAATTCAGAAGGATGTTATTGTCATCGGGAAGACTACTAACCTCATCGTCTGGCAGGCATGTTTCAAACCTGCAAAATGGGCAAACTATGACTCCTTGAGGAGAATCGCCAAAGTCTATGATCTTGCAGAGGCATTTGGCACATACTCGGTGACAACACTCCAGCACTTTTGGTTTTCTCTGTCGCAGGTTGTAGCGATTGTAGCAGATCTTGCACTCGAGCTCATCTGAGCTCTGGGGCTCTGCAGACTCCTCTTGTAGTGGACTGCTCATTTTGTCTGATGGTTTGCAGATTTGTGAAAAGATGAGTTAGGGGAAAGAGACGTCGTCACTCAGGCTTAGTTTAGAAATTTTTCCTGATGATCGTATCAGCCATCTCAAACAGGAAAAGAGGAGATGAAATTGTCAAGAAGCATCAGTAGAAGTCATCCATTTTGAGCTTCTGCTAGGGCCTCTGTACTGCATCTCCTCCAAGCCAGGCGCCCATCTGAAAAAGATAATGTGGAATTTCAGTGGAAAACAAAGAAGGGGAAAAGCTGTCGCAGGTGAAACAAGGAAGTCCGACTTTTTACAGCCTTAGCTTCCTTTGCAAATATGCCTCCATAGTATTCTCTTTTTTCACGTGGCATATGAGACCTCTACAACAGTTATGCTGATAAAACTACTTTGTGAGCCACTGCAGTTCCCCCCCACCTATGAAATTCTCAGTAGAAGATGCAAGCTAAGCAGTGACTGACTGATTAACCTGTGAATCCTTGTTTAAAGCTTAGCTTCCTAAGGCAATGAGACCTAACCTGTGGTCCTTCTGCCTTTCTTGGTAACTTCTGAACCTGCTTTCCAATTTCAAACAAATTGACAGAGGTGCAGCAGTAGTGAAGATAATTGAGTTTCTAAAAAAAGTGTGAAGACTGGCTGTTGGGACAGAGAAGGGGGAGAAAGATTTATAATAACTATCACTCTTGCTGCAGGGCAATGGTCAATCAGCAGGCAGTCAGATCTGCTCTGAACAAGCCACGTGCTGCCTGACGTTCAACCAGAGAGAGCATTATAGGAGGAAGGTGGTGGTACTCTTAGGAAACGAAGAGGAGGGAGGACGGGACACTGAAGAGGAGTGGGGCTACTGAAAAATGGCAAGTGGGGACATGCAACAAATTTGGAAAATATCAGGATTTCTTAATTTTCCCTGTGGAATTACTAATTTTCCTGTTCCTTCATATAGCTGCTGAGCACAGTGCTGATCAGAGCTTGTGGAAAAGCAGGTTCTTCAGCTTCAACCCTATGTGGGTCACATAGGCAATCAGGTTAATTAAGTAGGATCTGCCTTTCCTGAAGCCATGCTGACTTGCCTGGTCACTTGGTTATCCTGTATGTGCTGTGTGATGTGCTCCTGATGGCCTGCTCCATGACTTTCCCTGGCATCGATGTCAGACTAACCTGACCTGCCATTCCACAAGTCCCCCTTCCTGTGCTTCCTGTAGATGAGTGTCACATTTGCCATCCTCCAGTCAACGGAGACCCCCTCAATTAGCCAGAACAGCTGGTAAATCATTGGAAGTAGCTTGGAGAATGGGGAGAAAGCACATCAGTGCCTCACAACTAAGACTGCCACATATCATCCCATGATTTGAAAGTAGATTTCTGATCAACCAAAAAACTTCCGGAACATCTGCCTGCTTCCCATAGAAAACCCTAAATGTCCTCTGAAAACCCCTAACTAGAAAACTCTTCACATTTTAATGTTTATTTTTCTAATGAATATTCCTTGTTTTCACAAAAAACAACCCACTTCTCAACCAATTACATCCATGCACGTATCACTTCAGCCTGAATCAGTTTTCAAACTGAAAGTCTCCTGATTCCGTTTGAGTCTCCGTTTTTAGGTAGCCAAATTCAGTTTTAATAAAAGAACTAACAATTCCATTGCAAGCCCCAGATAGTAAATTGGGAACATTAACTTCATTTCCAGAACACACCCACCATGCTTGATCCTCTTTGCAGTTTAATTCATGAGCTATTCTACAAACTATTTTCATGCTTCTTTTACTGCTTGCACTCTGCAAGATAGAGCTACTTTCAGCATGTTCTTCTCACGGCCTCTTCAAAATATATTAACGTATTCAAACGTTATTGCTTGGTATCTTTTTTCTTTGGCTAAGTTCAGATGTTGCATTTCTCCTATTTCTCCTTATGTGTTCTGGTGTGATTAGTGCTCACTTCTGCTTTACAGTTAGAAATTCTTTCCTTTGAAAACAAAAAATGCAATTTCTATTGGAAAATTCAAATTTTTAAATAAAACTTGATTTCAATGAGGAATTCCAATCAGGTATATTAGGTCAAATAATAGTAATTAGAAAAATCATAGTTAATACACCAATTGCTGAGGGAGGTGAGAATGAAGTCTTCAGCCTTGCAGATAGGGAAGCGTGACTGGATACAACCCCATACAGGCTGCTCTCTCTTGGAACTTGACCCTTCTTTGAGTGAGGGGATTAAGCCTCTGAGATGGCTTCCAATCCAAATTATCCCAGGATTTTGTGTTTGGTATCCATAACTCACCTCATGTGGTCTGTATGAGAAGCTCTGTTTATCAAACACTCCACGGGCAAAGCGTGCTTCCAAGGCTCCAGAAACAATTAGATGTAGACTGAGATCTCAACGTCAGAGCTCAGTATGCAGGGCAAAGTAGATGGGAAACTCTTCCTTCTCTTCTCCAATGAAAGATGATCCTCATCCAGATTATGAAGCCAACATTTATTACTTATCTGTAACGCTTCTTCAGTGAGTGGAATTTTGGGTTATATGTGAAATACTGGCACATGAATACAGGAGGTCAGTAATTAACTTATTTAAGATATCATCACCCAGGGACCTACCCAGCATGATATTTTCAAAGGCTTTCAAAGAGTTTCTTCTAAATGCAACCCAAGTGCATTTATGGAATAGGAGAAGGAAAAAGAAAAAAGTACAGAGAGAGAAATTAATACAGAGAAACTTACTTTCCAAGAAAAAGAAGTTCTTGCAAAGATTCACTTGTAGGGAGCACAGGAAATGCCTATTCTCCTCCACACAGGAAACAACTGGTGGAAGGGAGAGAAACAAAATCAGTAGAGCAGCAATACAGCCGGGAGACCTTACAGTCAATTCTGTTGAAAGAGAAAAAGGAGTCCAACTCCTCTGGTTTGGATGGAAATATTCACACGCTAAGATTTCTGGTTAGAGAAATATATTGGGTAAATCCCATTTATTGAAATAACTTCTGTTAGGTAATGCAGAGTTATCTTAACAGATCTGTTGGTGATTTGAAGCCTCTTCCAATGTTACATGCTAAAATGCTCTGAAGCATTATCTCGTCTAGCATCCACATATTCACAAATGTTAGCAATTCACTCAGGAAAAAGAATACAGTAAAGTAGCTAGGGAAAAAAAACGTGCTTTGAAAGTAGGGTTTTAAAAACATATCAAAATACTTTCCTTCCAACTTCTCTTAGAAGTTCTTTGATCATTCTAGCTTTCCCAAACTGCAGCCACTTCTTCAGCACAGACCAGAAAACAACCATCTCCCATGACCACTGCACTGCATTCACATTCCAACAGCTTTGCTGCATTCTGACTCAGCAGGAAATGACCATTGCACTACATTTGTCCAGCCTGTGCTAAGCACAATGCAAAACAAAACAAACCCCAACCCCAAAACCCATCAAATCGCTTTATTATACTAATCTCACATTTGAATAGAGTGCGTTCCAAGTGCCACCAGCTATCACACATTCAACCTGCTTCATGCCACATTTCTGCTAACACTGGATGGCTTTTAACAATGAGCATCTCCCTGTCAACTCTCGTCGATGTGTAACTTTGCAAAGAGTTACAGAATGTGGCATATTGAGCCATGCTTGGTTTATGGTCATCTGTATAAAATGCCTTTTCATAAAAACACAGTTTTTGAAGGGATAAGTAATGAGCTAATTTCTAAAGGATCTCCCCCTGAATGCTGTGAATAGAATAGAAACACTGCAACATCCACAACAGCTGGTTCTGCATTACTGGCAGCTTCACAAGTAACTAATACAAAATATACATATATATACTTTTTTTTTTTTTTTTTTTAATGAGAAGGTATTGTTATAACATTCACAGTCCTTGCCCAAGCTCTCTCAATCCACTATCATATTATAATAACACAAAAATACTAAAAAGAAAACAATTCATGGCATCAGAGAGTTCATGGATCTCTGACATATGTGTGTCATCTTAAATAATACTGATAATAATAAAATCAACAGTTCAGTTTTGTTTTCTTTCCCCTCCCCCCCCCTCCTTCTGATAAGTAAGAGAGATTTGCAGCTAACAGAGTTCCCTTTACTCAACACAGTGATATTTGCTCCTAGGGCACTTTCTACATCCTTTACATGTGCACACTCTATGTCACCAGACTCAATTTCCTCTTAACAATATAAGACACAATACTTTTTTGTTCTTCTAATAACTTGCATTATGTGCCAGATAGTAGTGGAAAATGCTGTGAATAAACAGTGAATGCCCTCCTGAAACCACATTATCCTGAATGACTTTCAGTCTAGCTAGAGGCTACTATGGCAATGATATGAATCTTAAAACTGGCTATGATGTAGGAAAAAAATGTTTCATTAGTTAGGCTTGTAGACACAAGTAAGACCTCTTCTAATATTTCTTGAGAATGATTTTTTTCTCATATATAATTCACAAGCAATTTATACAGCAATACATCGAATGACTTCTTAACGTGACATACAGCTGCGGGTTGCTTTGTGGTTGTTTCAAGATTAAAACTAATAAAGGACAAAGGATCTGCTCTTATAATAGCTGTCTTAATTAAACGGGCTGCTAATTACACTATATCAATAAGCAGAAAGAACTGTACCTAAAATGGTAACAAGTTTAACTCCTGAAACACACCTGTTGAACAGAGCAACTTCCTTTTAACTGGCTCCCAACCTGCTTGCTTAGGCTGCTCCAGCATTTCTTCTTGTACTGCTTTCTTACTGCCAGTGGTTTTTCCTTTATGACTCTGAAACCAAGAAACCAACTACTCCAGTAAGAATATATTTCATGACAGAACTCCTGACCTTAAAATCATTAATTTACAGAAGTGTTGGACATTCTCTTATTTGGTAGCAGGAGGCATTTGGAGCAGCCTTCTCAAACAAGGTGAAGTACTGTTTCTTTGCCTTGGCTTTTGTGTTCCTTAGGAGCTCCTCTGAGAATTGAAAAGACTGTAGGACACTGATTCTAGAACACAACTGGAAAAGGTACAAAATGATGAACAAATAAGAAGCTTACCAGTATTTCTTATTATAAGCATGAATGTTTAATTCTATGATTGACATGTCTCTAATTTATCTTTAAATTAGGCACTATTAAAAGCCAGTATAATTTTGTATTAGGTTTCAGACTTTCTGACAGTTCAGCTCCCTGTTTTGCTTGCTAAGATACAGTTGAATGTCAGATACATGCAAAAGACATTTTTTCTCCTTTTTTTAAACAAAACATTACTGTTGTCCCGGAGGATGCTGTGACATGCACAAAACAACAGATCCTCAAAATATGATAAAACTATTTTTCTTTAGACGTATTTTCTATGGTGTGTAATTTGAGAGGGACCAGGTGAGAAAAAATTTCAGAAAATTGCTCTTGATTACATCATTCTGTGAGAAATTCCTCTTCACAAAGCAAAAGCATTTTAACACACCTCGAAAGTTCAAATTAATCTTCAAAATAAGTTTTAAACAGAAAGTGTTGTTGGCTTTGTCCTCATGGAGCTGAAAGTAACTGCAGAGCAGAATAAAGCTGTATTGCCTTCTTTTTCTGTTGCTATTGAGAACAACCTGTTCAACACGGAGGTGTGTTTATCCAGGTTCATTCTGTTTCAGCCATTTCTGAGGATATGACTATAAATAAGCATTTTACAATGCTGTGTATTTTACCTAAATGGGTTATTACCAAGAGAAAATGAAAATGGCGTGGGATTGATGATACAGGACGATGCAGACAGAGAAGTTTACAGATCAGTTGCATATAATTGGTAATATATTCTTCTGCTTCAGTTACTGCTCAGAAATTGAGCATTATGCTCTGATGAAAGGAAAACAGTAAGAAACAGTTAAAACAACTGCAGTCACAATCAATCTGGATGTTGTGTTGAGGGACATGGTTTAGTGGGAGCTATTGGGAATAGGTGAACGGTTGGACCGGATGATCTTTTGGGTCTTTTCCAACCTTGGTGATTCTATGATTCTATGAATCACAGACTGTTGGAGAAACACACATCAAAATAACCCACACCAGTGGAGATTTCCACCTCTCAACAACTTCCCCAGGCTTGGTTTTCCACCAGCATAGCCTTTTTGAAAAGCTGGCAATCAAAATCTAATCTGGCTGACGCTGCAGAGTCCCACTGTGTTGAAAAGAAAAGGGAGAAGTCTCGGGAAACAGTATTTTAACTTGCATATACTGAAGTGTACTTTTAGTATTTAACTTAATACAGCAACAGTTGGCACGTACTCCCTTTTCACTGGATGTTATTATAGATACAATCATAGAATGGCTTGGGTTGGAACAGACCCCAAGAATCATCACGTTCCAACTCCCCTGCCACAGGCAAGGCCACCAATCTCCAAATCTGGTACTAGACCAGGGCCCCATCCAACCTGGTCTTGAACATCTCCAGAGACAGAGCATCTACAGCCTCTCTGGGCAGCCTGTTCCAGCATCTCACCACTCTCTCTGTGAAGAACTTCCCACTGACATTCAATCTTCCCTCCTTGAGCTTAAAACAATGCCTCCTTGTCCTATCACTGTCTACCCTTGTAAAAAGTTGATCCCCCTCCTTTTTATAATCCTCTTTTAAATGCTGAAAGGCTGCAATGAAGTCTCCTCACAGCCTTCTTTTCTCCATGCTGAACAAGCCCAGCTCCCTCATCCTGTCTTTGCAGGGGAGGTGCTCCAGCCCTCTCATCATCTTTATGGCTCTACTATGGACCCTCTCCAACAGCTCCACAGTATGACTCAAATCACAGTGATACAACTAAGAAAAAGGCTGTGTTAAAATCTTATTAAGATATTTTTAAGACCAAGTACACAAAAAAAAGTAACATGCTATTTATGAAAAATAGCATATTAGTAGATCTGATGGACGCATGGTAAAGCTAAGTTGTACGTCTTCACCTACATTTACACGAATGGAATGAACCCAGCTGAATGATGTGTCTATTAAGTGACTTTGACTATAATATGTAAAACCCTCTTACAAAATATCAGCAGGAAAGGGGCCATTTGGTCTGTACAAGGAAAGCAGTATTGTAAGTATATTAGATTCCTTTTAATCTGCACTGCTTTTTCAAACACTTCATATTATTAACCTGCACCAACCAGCCTTTTTTCCCATCTAGTTTTAAGAAATATTTCTCTTTAGTAATGAAAATTCCCTCAAACAATAAAGAGGAAAAATGTTGTTACACTTTTATACTCACAGTAAGCAAATTACAATCTATGATCCCCATGGTCCTAAGAAACTGCAGAAGAAAATTTACTGTTAGCAGGTTTTGGTGATTGTTTGATGTTGTTATTGTTTATATGGCTGTTGGATTTACATGAGAAAAATAAATCCATGTATTAAAAAAGTTGAATTAATTTGTATCAAATGATAGGCATGTCTTTCACTTTCTTGCTAATAAGAAATAGAAAATTCCTCTTAAAGAAAGGCAGCTTTAAGAATTAGTCTGAAAACATCTTTGTAAATACTATGGATGATCTGAGACCAACAGAGATCC